GTCCTGGGCTAAAGTGTTGGGCTGGTCAGAGGGGAACACACTTTGGAACTCACAGGAGCCTGCACCCAGTGTGGCTGGAGACTTAGTGACTGTGGGACCACAGCTGAGGTAGCAGGTGTGGCTGTAGTGTCCCAGGTGTTATCTGAAGGCACCCTGAGCGGAGGTGAGGCTTGGATCCCAGTTACAGCAGCTCTCCCCTTCAGAAAAGAGAGGCCTATGAGGAAGAGCCAGCCTCTTTGGGACTGTTTACAATGGTAGCACAGGCTGCCTAGTTAGGCGAGCCCAGTCAGCCACCCCCTGAAGGTCCTGCGGTTTTTAACTGTTACACACACACACACACACACACACATACACATGACTACACACTTCTCTTTTGCTCCTTCACTCACTCAGGCTCTCTTGCTCACTGCTGCCTACTTCCTGCCTATGTAGTTGGATCTGAGATGTTATTGACCCATTCGTGGGTGGAGTTACCTCTCCAGGTGTCTTGTTATGTGGCTCTCTCTCTAACACATTGGATGGACAGGATAAAGTTCACCTCGACAAGACATGACACAAAGGGAAAGGGAAGAGAACACGAATGTACTCATGACACCTATAACCCCAATATAAGTGACCACCTGAGAAAAGAGAATTAGGGGAGAAAAAAAGAGCACTGAATTGAATCCTTTAATTGATCATGTCTTATATTTTTCTTAAAAATGTAGTGTTATTAACCTAGGAAATTCTAAATATATTTGACCTGCCAGCTTTAAAAGTTCAAAGTGCAAATTAAATTGGGAGAAATTATATAGTTGTGGTAATTAAATGCCAAAAGTATAAGAACTTATTTTTGAGAAAATAAAATGTTGATTTCTCTAATAATTAGAAATTCAAATTAAGTTTCTCATTATTGGTCTAATTAAAAAAAGAGGATTAATTCTGTGATCCCAACCAAAATTTTTCTATGCAAAAACTACGTTTAAATTTAATTGATATCTTAAGATAATTATAGTAAGTATTATTAAAAGCATTATAATATTTAAAACATATGAAGATATTTGTTTGATTTTTTCCCATGTTAAAATTTCAAGGTCTTAACAGAGATGATTCTTGCAAAGCTCCAAGGGCCCAGAGTAATACAAGAAATTTATTCACTCTTCTTAAAGGAAATCATTTAAAATTTAACAGGTCTAATATACATAAAATTGCATGGAAAGCCTTATCAAATGAAAAATAATAAATATGCTTTAAATGTTATAAAGATTTTGGCTTTAAGAAGAGAAAATCATACTCTTAAAATTCAATTACTAAAACAGAAAGGGGGAGATGGATGTTATGTGTCACCTCAAAACAAACTCAGTCATGTTTTTTACTTTAAATTTTTTGAATTGCGATGCAGAGGGTCATACAGCAGCTGAAAGGCATCAGGCCTCCTATACAATAGCCTTTGTGGGATTAGTCCATTAGAAATATGCACAAACTGGACAATGGTTTGAACAAGATCCAGTAATGATGTGGGGAAGACATTGTTTTGTATCTTTCCAGAAGAAGCAGCACAGCCAATTTGGGTGCCAGACCGTATGTCATCACAATGGACTCAGAGAAGCTCCTTGTTCCATCATTCAAAGTACTGAGAGTTGCCCTGATGACAGCAAAGCAATAAAGGAAGATGACAAAGGTTAAGCAAGAGATCGTGGTGCCAACAGGGGGTCAGCTGAAGAAGTTAACAACTGAGGTCCAGCAGATAGCAGAAAAGCAGGAAGTAGAAGCTTCTCCCTCAACCATGTTTCTGGCCATGCTAGCATTGGTTAACTGCCAGTCTTCTGCCAGACATTTTCACAGGGGAGTTTTACCAAACATTTAAGGAAGAAATAAAACCTATCCTCCTCAGACGATTCCAAAAAAATTCAAGAGGAAGACACACTTCCAAGCTCATTGTATGAAGCCAGCATCACCCTAATCCCAAAACCAGATAAAGGTAACAGAATGAAAGAGAGTTACAGGCCAATATCCCTCATAAACATATATGCCAAAATCCTCAGCAAAATTCTAGCAAATCAGATACAGCAGCACATCAGAAAGATCATACACCATGACCAAGTAGGATATCCTAGGGATGCAAGGATGGTATATCTGCAAATCAATAAGTGTAATACATCACATATACACTTTGAGAGATAAAAATCTCATAATCAATTGATGCAGAAAATCATTTGACAAAATCCAACACCCTTTTTTTGATAAAAACTCTCAACAAGGTTGTAATAGAAGGATCATACCTCAACCTAATAAAAGCAATATATGTCAAACCCACAGTCAACAAAAAAAAACATTTCCCCTAGGATCAGGAACAAGACAAGGATGCTCACTCTCACCACTCTTGATTGAGATAGTATTGGAAGTACTAGCCATTTTGATTAGACAAGAAGAAAAAATAAAAGGCATATAAATTGGAAAAGAAGAAATAAAACCAGTCCTTATTCGCAGATGGCATGATACTGTACATAGAAAACCCTAAAGACTCAATCAAAAAAACTATTAGACTTAATAAATGAATTTGGCAATGTAGCAGGATATAAAATTGACACCAAGAAATCTATGGCATTTTTATACACCAATAGTGAACTTAGAGATAAAAACTAAATAAGCAATCCAATTTACCATCACACCAAAAAAGGTAAGAACCATAGGAATAAACTTAATTAAGGCGGTAAAAGACCTATACCCACAAAACTACAGGACACTGAAAAAAAGAGATAGAGAAAAATATAAACAGATGAAAAAGCATACTGTTCTCATGAATTGGTAGAAACAACATCATTAAAAAATGTTCATACTACCCAAAGCATTCTATATATTCAATGCACTCCTCATTAAAATATCAATGGCATATTTCACAGATCTAGGAAAAAATTTCCAAAAACTCATCTGGAATAAAAAAAGACCCTGAATAGCCACAGCAATCCTAAGCAAGAAGAACTATGTACGTGGGATCTCAATACCAGATATCAAGCTGTATTACAAAGCCACTGTTCTCAAAACAGCCTGGTACTGGCAAAAGAACAGAAATATAGACCAATGAAATTGAATGGAGAATCCAGAAATAGATCCAAACCACTAAGCTCAATATTTTACAAAGGAGGCATAAACATACAATGGAGTCAAGACAGTCTCTTCAATAAATGGTGTTGGCAAAATTATACAGATACATGCAAAAAAAAAAAATGACACTAGACCACTAACTTACACCATACACTAAAATAAACACAAAATGAATCAAGGACTTAAACATAAGATGGGAAACCATAAAAATACTAGAGGAATCCAGAGGCAGTGAAATCTCAGACACATGCTGAAGCAATTTCTTCACTGATACTGCTCCTAGGGCAATGGAAACTAAAGAGAAAATAAACAAATGTGACTACAGCAAAATAAAAACTTTTGCACAGCGAAAGAAACCATAAATAAAACAACAAGATAGCCCCCTGCATGGGGGAACATATTTGCCAATGTTATCACCAATAAGGGTTTAATTTTCAATATTTATAGGGAACTCATACAACCTAACAAAAGGAAGAAAAACAACCCAGTCAAAAATGGGAACTGTATCTAATTAGATTCTTTTTCAAAGAAGACATAAGGAAGGCCAAGAGACATATGAAATCATGCTCAAAGTCCTTAATTATTTGAGAGATACAAATAAAAAAAAACAAGGCGGTGTCATCTCACACCTGTCAGAATGGCTATAATCAACAGATCAACAAATGACAAGTGCTAGCAAGGATGCAATGAAAAAGGAAACCTTAATGCCTGCTGGTGGGAATTCAGATTGATGAAGCCACTTTGGAGAATAGTATGGAGTTTCTTCAAAAAACTAAAAATTGAACTCCCATTTAACCCAGTGATCCCAGTTCTAGGAATATATCCCAAGAATCTAAAAACACCAATCATAAAGGATATATACACCCCTATGTTCATAGAAGCACAATTCAGCATAGCTAAGATTTGGAAACAAGCTAAGTGCCTATCATTAGATGAGTGGATTAGAAAACTGGTACATCTACACAACGGAATACTATACTAGCATAAAAAAAGAAGGAATTCTTACCATTTTCAACAGCATGGATGGAGACCATTATACTAAGTGAAATATGCCTGTAAGAAAAAGATAAATATCACATGACTCATTTGTGGAATATAATGAACAACATAAATTGATGAAGAAAAACAGATCCAGAGATAAAGCATCAATCAGACTATCAAACCGCAGAGGGAACATAGGGGAGGGATCAAGCAAAGGACTTGTATATATGCATATAAGCCTAACTAATTAACACAGTCAACAAGGGGGTGAGGGTTAGGGTTAGGGTGTGGGGTGGGGAAGCAATGGAGGGATAAGGACACAGATGTAATACCTTAATAAAGAAATTTAAAATAACAAATAAATAAATATTTGTCAGTTAAATCTCAATTGAAGATAGGAGTATCTTTATCATGAACTCAAAAAAAATTCTGCTAGTATTCCACATAAAAGTAAAGAAGAGATTGGTATGAAATATTCAAAGTAATGATACACAAGAACCTGAACCCAAGACTACTCTATCCAGCAAGGATGTCATTTAAAAATGAAGGTGAAATAAAGAGCTTCCCAAACAAAATGAGGCTAAAGGAGTACATTCTAACCCAATCAACATTGAAAGACATGTTAAGTGGACTGCTTTAAGAAGAACAAATCTAGAGAGAGAATTATAGAAATAAAGAAAAAAAAATGAAATAAATAAGTACCTATCAATAATAACCTTAAATATAAATGTACTTAATGTTCTAATAAAAATAGATAAGTTAGCTGACTGGGTAAGAAAACAAGATGATTCCAACTTCAGAAAAGATCTTCACACAGATTGAAAGTGAAGGGATGGGGAAGTGGTGAGAAGCTGCATTCAGTGTGTCTGTAGGTTCTGATGGGGGCTGTTACAGATGGCAGGATGTCATGGTTCTGCTTTCTTTGGGGCTTCAACATGTCCCTGAGTTATGGCCTAGCCCTGATCCCCCAGCTCTGGGCCACCTGCACCATGGCCACCCTGAATCAGATGTACCTACTAGGGCCTCCAAAGCAGCTGCCTCCAAAACTGGCCCCCACAGAAGCCCAGGTGCAGCTAAAGGGTGTGGTTTTGCACACATTCATTTGTAAACCCAAGAAGCGGTACTCAGCCAACTGCAAGTGCTGCTATATGCAACTCAGCACAGGCCAAGAGGCCATCTGCTTTACCTCAGGGGTGGGCCACAACCAGCAGGAGCACCCTGTGCTTGTGCTAGGTGGACACAATCAGGAATTGCCTGGTGTCAAGCTCAAGGTTATGAATGCAAGTATGACTATGCTATGTGCAGAAGTTTCTGCCAGGGGCATACTGGGCTGTGGTTTGTGTAAAATAAGAACCTTTGTCACTGGGTTCCTGCAGTATTCTTGGAAAGTAGGCTAGTTCTAGAAGCATCTGACCCTGGTTCAAATCCTGTTTCTTCTTCCATCAGAACCACCAATAGCCAATAGGGGTCCTGGGTGTGAATTAGAAAAAGTGCCCCTCTGCCAAAATCCTTGGTGTCCATGTGTAGAATGTTAGTGCAAGAGGCTTCTTCTATTGAAACAGTACACTATTCCATCTTATGAGAAGGGGTTTCAATAAACAAACACACACACACACACACACAAAAAAGTGAAGGAATGGAAAAAAAATATTCCATGCAAATAAAACACACATAAAAGCACCAAAAGCTAGGGTAGTAACACTTCTATCTGACAAAATTTACTTCAAATAAGTCATAAAAGAAACAAATAAGGTCACTTCATAGTACTAAAGAGATGGACCCAATTAAAAAATATGATCCTGCCGAAACCGGTTTGGCTCAGTGGTAGTGTCGATCTGCAGACTGAAAGGTCCCAGGTTCAATTCCGGTCAGGGGCATATATATTGGTTGTGGGCACATCCCCAGTAGTGGGTGTGTAGGAGGCAGTTGGTCGGTGTTTCGCTCTCGTCGACATTTCTAGCTCTCTATCTCTCTCCCTTCCTTTCTGTAAAAAATCAATTAAAAAATATATAAATATATAAATATGATCCTGATCCACTGAGCCTAAACAACTAGGGCAGATTTCTAACATTAAAAAAACACATGCCTTAAGAGATCCAAAATGGCAGCAGAGTGAGTGAATACTGCATGGACATGATCCTGGGGAGCGGGGCGGGGACTGGAATTACAATTAAAATACGGGGGGAGGGGGAACAAAACACTTCCTTAATAATCAAGAGAAGACTCACTGGAGAGAACCCTAATACTTGAGTACTGAAAGTGGAGACCAAATAGAGACTGGTAAGAGGGGCAGAGGTACAAATGGGTGCAGGGTACCCACAGACAGCAACTGAAGTTCTGAAGAGATATCCCAGCTTCAAGGGGTTGCCACTGAGAATTCTTGGTATTTATCCCCACCCTCCCAGCAGAAATACCAGAACTGAGAAGGGTACTCACATAACATCTGGCTGTGAAAAGCAGTAGAGTTGTTATCTGCCAGGAAGTGATAACTGAAAATTCAGGCACGCTTGTAAAAGGCCAACATACAAAATTCTCTGTGAAGCCCCCACCTTGTGCTCCAGCAGAGAGAAGGCAGAATGGACTGGAGCTATGTGACCAGATGCCAGAATTGGGAATTCAGGGGTTAGAGCTCAGAAGGCTGGCACCCCCAGTTTCTGTGCTGAGGCATTCCCTCACACAGTGTAGGACATCTTTCCCACACAGACATATGCTTCTCCTGAGGGGAAGACAGTTGACACACCCTATTGCCCTGAGACCACCTAAGAGGCTAATTATTTTTTAATAATTATTGCTTTTGGCCTCTAGGCAGAAGCAACTGCCACACCCTGTTGGAAAAAAACCTCTCACCACAACTTAGCAAGACTGGGTGGAACAATTCAAGTTGGAATCCTATCATTTTGTAAGAAGAGGCAGTCTCTGGAGGCTTTGAGTATTTGCCTGATATAATTAGTTAGAAACAGTGATTGACATTGTCCTGACTAGTGATTGAGAGATGTAGACTGTATAAAATCTATCTAATACATAGTCAAAACCCCAAACAGACAGCCAAAAAGAAGATACAATAAACAGTCCCCAAATGAAAGAACAAGAAAATTATATAGAAAAAGAGATAAGTGAAACAGAGATAAGAAATTTATCTGAAACAGAGTTCAGAGTAATGGTGGTAAGGATGCTAAACAGCATTAGAAAAGATATAGTAACTATGAAAAAAGTCATAAATAAAGAATGATATAGCACAAATAAAGAAAACAATGGAAGGAATACATAGCACATTAGGGGAAGCTGAGGATCCAATCAGAGAATTAGAAGACAGGGTTGAAAATAATCACGCAATCAGAGAAACAAAAAGAAAAAAAAACAATTAAAAAAGAAAAGGACAGCTTAAGGAAGCTATTGGAAAACATGAAATGTAACAACATTAAAATAGCAGGTGTGCCAGAAGGAGTAGAAAGAGAAAAATGAAAAGAGAATGAGTTTGAAGAAATAACGGCAGAAAAATTTCCTATCTTAGGAAAGGGGAAAAAATCACACAAGTTCATGAAGCACAGAGAAGAGCCCAAACAGGCCCATGTCCAGACACAGCACAATTAAAATGCCAAAAATTAAAGACAAAGAAAAAAATCTTAAAGGCAGCAAGAGAAAAGAAAACCATTGCATACAAAGATGCTCCCTTAAGCCTGACACCTAATTTCTCATCAGATACTCTACAGGCCAAAAGGGAATGGCATGAAGTATTCAAGGTAATGCAAAGCAAGGATCTGAAACCAAGATTACTATATCTAGTAAGGTTATCATTCAAAATAGATGGTCAAATCAAGAGCATCCCAGACCAATAATAATAATAACAACAATAATAAAGCCAAAGGAGCACATCACCACCAAGCCAGCATCACAAGAAATGCTAATGAGACTGCTGTAATGAGAAGAAAGAGAGAAACCTAAGAATACAGAATTAAAATGCCAATAAATAAATACCTATCAATAATAACCTTAGATATAAATGGATTAAATAATTCAATCACAGGATAACTGAATGGATACAAAAACATGACCTAACTATATACTGTCTCAAGAGACCCACATTAGAACAAAAGACACACACAGGATGAGAATGAAGGAATGGGGGAAAAATTGTCCATGCAAGTGGAAAAGAAAAAAGCTAGAGTAGCAATAACCACATCATACAAAATAGACTTCATAATGAAGGCCATCACAAGAGATAAGAAAGGTCACTACATAATACCGCGTTTACCCGAAAATAAGACATCCTCCGAAAATAAGACCTACTTACAGGTTTCCTTCTGAGTGAAATGTAAGTCATCCCCTTGAAAATAAGCCCCAAGCTAAACATGAGAGATTTGGTTCACTGATTCTGAAGGAAATGGAGTCACAAGAAATTCACCAGGAAATTCAGGAATTGGATTGTTATGATGATGTTCCAGAAGATGATGACATGATTGTCATAGAATAAATGAGTAAATTCTTGATACTGTAGGATTTACAGTTTGTCTGGTTTGTGTTGACAACTACCATACTACCGTACTGTATACAGGTAATAAATTTCCTTTATTTTCATTTAACAATAAATGTGTACCGTATTCTTCTTCATGGAAAAATAAGACATCCCCTGAAAATAAGACCTAGAGCATCTTTGGGAACAAAAATTAATATAAGACACTGTCTTATTTTCAGGGAAGCATGGTACTAAAAGTGTTGATCCAACTAGAGGATATAACCCTAATAAACATATTTGCATCCAATATAGGGGCACCTAAATATATATATGTGTGCAAAACGAACTTCTAGATGACTTTAATGGAGACATCTAGACAACAACAACACAGTCATAGTATGGGAGTTTAACACCCCACTGACTTCACTGGATAGATCTTCCAGACAAAAACTTAATAAGTAATCAGTGACTCAAAAGGGCACACTAGATCAGATGGATTTAATTGACATCTATAAAACATTTTATCCCAATGCAGCAGAATATACATTCTTCTTAAGTGCACATTGGTCATTCACAAAGATAGATCACATGTTAGGTCACAAAACAAGTCTCTATAGGACACAAAACAAGTCTCTACAAGGTAAAGAAAATTGAAATCATATCAAACATCTTCTCAGACTACAGTAATGAAATTAGAAATCAACTACACTTATACTTTGACAAGAAGGCAGAATATAGGAAACTACATGAAAACATGAATAATTCAGAGAAAATGACTGTAAACAGATGAGAACTCCTTTAGAACAGCTGAAAGAGACTCTCCAAGTGAGTTCTTAGTGTAGAAAAGGTAGCTAAGATCCGGAAAATCCTTAATTCGGAAATCAACTACAATAAAAAAAAAACAAAACAAAACATTCAAACACATGGAGGCTAAATAGCATTCTATTAAACAATCAATTAACTACAAAGAAGACCAATAATGAAATAAAAAACTTCCTGGGAACAAATGAAAATGAACATATAACAACTCAAAATTTCTGGGTCATAGCAAAAGCAGTCCTGAAAGGGAAGCTCTTAGCACTCAAAACAAAAACAAAACAACAAAAAAAAAAAAAACAAGAAAAATCAGCAATAAAGTATTTAATCCTACAGCATAAAGAACTAGAAAGAGGCCACAGACACTCCAGGGTGGCCAGTGCTGTCACAGAGACCATACCATTTTGAAAAACAGGACTGTTTGTGACTAGGATCCTAGCCTCTCTACCACCCAATCTGCTCTCAGAAACAAGCAGGGATCCTACAACCACTCCGGACAAAGACCTGCAGATCTATGGACACCAAGACTCCAGACATCTTGGCTGCAGATTACTGTAATTCATGGAGCCCATCCCCCTTCCCACCAGCAGCTGTGCAGCATAGGACCTGACAGACCCACTCAATACAAGCAGGCTTCCTGCCAACACAGGGTGGCTGTGCAACTTAACTTTGACTCTGAGCATGCAAACTCAGGGAGTCTGTTTCCCAGGGTGCAGGAGTGGGCCTCCTGTGTACACAGGGTAGCTGTGCAATCCACCACCTCCCCAAGCAGACCAGGATCCCTTATTCTTCATGTGAATGGCAGCACTGAGAACCAGTGACTTGACTCTTGGTGCACACACATAGGGACACTGTTTCTTATTGTGTGAGCACGGGATTCCTGATTTTCAGTGCATGCACACTTAGTGCCTGTGACTTCAATTCTTGTTGCATGCCCACACAGGGACCCTGATTAATGATATGAGGCCACACCAATTGACCGAGACTCTGATACTTGATTCTCAGCACATGCACACAGAGTCACTGACTAGTGGCGTGTGCTAGGGGACTCTGATTTTTGGTGTAAGCCTGTGGGGACTTTTCTTTTTTCAGAGTGGTGCATGCAGGGTTCCTGATTCTATGTGTGCA